TGAACTCACAGCAATCCTCCTGCCTCAGCTTCCGAAGTACTAGGGTTACAGGCATGTGCCATCACGCCTGACCAAAAAGGTCTTAAAGTTTATGCATATTTAATATGCCAGATACCGGTCATAGTGGCATCCTTTGGGGAAAGAGAGCTGTGTGGGTGTGAATGTGCTGGGTATGGGGTGCACACTTTCAGTCCCAGGTATTTGGGAGGCTCAGGCTGAGCTCACAAGTCCAAAACTGACCTAGTAGATATAGCTAGACCCTGTCTCAAAAAACAAGCAAGCAAAAACCAACAAGAAGTAGGGGAGGGAGACTTTAACTTTTAGCTACAGTATTTGCATATTTTGAATCTGGGATCATGTCCAGTGTATACTCTATTCAAAAATGGCTTGATTAAATTTTTGAAAAAACCCTAATAAGTATGGATTAACTTGCCATGAAAAAATCAATTAAATACTATTCTCAATTTAAAGAAGAGAGAATGTTGAGTGTGTTCATTTAATACTTGGTAATCCCAGCACTCTAGGAAGCTGAGCCAGGAGGATCTGAAGTTCAAGCTTAGCCTGGACAATTTACTGATTTATTGAGATCCTATCTCAAAATAGAAAATGAAAAAGGGGCTGGAGAGGGAGCTCGGTGTGAAGGCCCTAGGTTAATTCTCTAGTACTGTGGAGAGAAAGAGGGAGAGGAAAGGAGAGAAAATGAGAATTGAGATTCACAGAGTTGGAGGGAGCTGCTGCCTAGAACCATCCAGCTAGAAAATGGTTCCAGCTCCAGTGCACGTGTCACGAAATCCCTGGGTGTATCTGGGGCTTTGAGTTTGCAAATCACTGCTTCCCTATAGACTCACCATTTGGAAGATGCAGCTAAATTTGAAAACACGAAAGGTTAGCTAGAACCCACCTCCCACATCACAGACAACCCTGACTTCTGGTTCCTCCAGGGACCTCTTTCCTCACCACCCTCCAGAACAACAGGCTTCATCCCTACCATAGTCCTTTCAGAGGAGGATCCCTGAGGCTGCCTTGTAAGGCACAGAGATGGGCAGTCACTCACTCCAAAGCCCCCAATGGGTCTTATATCTCCCCAAAGACTACAGCACCAGAAAGTCTAGAAGCCTGGACACCCAGAAGGAGGCTCTCCCAGGGCCAGAGCAGCATCTGGAGTGGCACTGGCTTCGGTGCATGCATGCAGTCATTAACAGAGCTCTGGCACATTTGCAGGCAATAACTGCATGTTTTCTCCTGGGTGCATTGAGAGCCACCTTCGCTCAGCATGTAATGAGTCTGTTTCCTACAATGGAGGGAGATGTTCACACTCCTCCCAGGCCTGCCTGCCTGCCGGGCTGCTCTTGGCTCACTCACCTTCCTATTTTTAGATGCATCCCAGCCCTAGGACCAGCCACTGGATGGTACTGTGATCGTGGCTTCCCTGACAGGACCACAGAGCAGCCGGGCAGCCTAATCCAGAAAGAATGTTTCCTTCCAGTGTTCTGCTGTGGTCAACACTCACTTCTTTTCATCATCTCTTGAAAATTCCACCCAGGCAGGTAATTCCCAGGTTTTAAAAATGGAGTATTTTGGGTTTTTTCCCTGAAAGAAGCTTCATGGATAAAAAATACAAATAAATCCAGGAAGAGCAGAGATGAATCTGTAGCCCATTGCTTATGTCCCTCCCACTCCTGCTCCAGACTGCTGCTTTCTCTCATTCTCCTGTGGGCCCCTGACAAATGTCAGTGCTTCTCCCTGGAATACCTTTCTTCTCTCTGTCCTTGCTCCCATCTGAAACACTCAGCACACGCCATCTCCTCCAGGAAGACTTCAGGGCTAAGTTTCCTGTTCCAAATTCTCCACAGCACCTGTGCTTCCCTCTCTCACATCATACTAGGTGCTAAATAGTTGCTTAGTTCCTTCCCCCATGTAACTGTGTAAATCTTGAGAACAGTACACTAACAAGATCCTCAGTGTGCAACAGAGAAGTGGGGGAAAAAGAGATGTGCAGGGAACGTGAAATATTGTGATATGCACCATCTTGCCACAGCTCTGTGGAGTGGCTGTCTGTACTCCCATTTTACAAATGAGAAAATGGTAAGGCCAGGAGGGTAAGTAATTGGCCCAAAGTCTCAGAGAGTTATGGGACCCAAGAGAACACTCAGTCCCACCATCCTCTGGATATTAAGTGAAGAAGCTGCCGATCCAAGAGAGCAGGGACTTGCCTGAAGTCGCGGGGCAATAGGATTGTCTGCCACTGGAATTGATAAGAACATTTAGTCTCATCATAGGATAGGTATGGAATGAACATCCTTGCCGGATGTATCTGCCGGACCATGACAGTTTCCCTTCCCTCAGAGCTGCTCACACACCAATCCACGTGACTCAGAAATGACTCCCAGAGCCTGGCAGGCACATGTGATCCTGTCCCCCTACCTGACTGAGCTGAGGTTGGACCTTTGGCTTAACTGAGTCAGTCACCTTCTCTCCTGGGAATTCGGAGACTGACTCTATCTGGCTGGGCTCTCAGGTGCTGTGGAGTGTCATCTGTCCACCGTGTGACCTGAGGTCAGAGAAGCCCAGTCTGGGAGGAGACCCACACACACATATCCCTGGGTTTCCAAGGACTTTTCTGAGTCTGGGTTCCTTTATTCTCCCAGGTCCCTTGTGATTGTGTCCTTGTTCTGGGTCTAAATTGGCTGTAGTGGGTTTCTTGTTGTGAAAAACAGCGCCCTAATACAATACATGGCATGGTGGCTTTCCTGAAGCAGGTGCTGCTGCGCAGGCTGGCATGGTACTGGAGCCATTTTAGGTGCTCAGACAAGGAGGCCAGTGCAGACCTGAGTGACCAGGAAGACCTCCTTGGAGCAAGCGGGAGGAGCATCTGTCCAGGGAGGATGTAGCAAATGAAATCAGGGAGGAAGACATGGGAGGGCTTTTCAGGGGACATTGAGGCAGCACAGGGAGCCCAACTTGAAGGAAATGGACAAAGGGCCAAGCAGGGAGGTGTCACAGGAAACAAAGACAGAGGCCTTCTGGTCTCCAGGAGCTCATCCAGAGCCCTCCAGGGTACAGAGGAGAGGTGGGGAGGCACCAAGACCTGGGAGGGTTTCTCAGGGATGGTAACAAACAAATGATTACAGGGGAGACAGCTCTGAACCCGCCCTGTGCTCCACCCTTGTACCAGGCGGTTTCCCATTCTCACCCTGCCTTGCACTATTCTGCCCTGTGCCTCTGTCCGCACAGGAGCCTTCCATCCCTTCTCAGCCCAGCTCTGAGGCTGCCTTATCCCAAATGCCTTTTCTGTCGCAGTCCACTCACTCAAAGGGAATCCAGGTTCTCTCTCTGTGGGTTCCTGCTTAACTCACTACCATGTAGTACACAAGGGCCCATTTGCCGCACTGGGACATGGGCCCTGAGGCCAGGACTCAGGTCTGATTCATGTGCTTCCCTGTTGCCCTGTGCTGGGGCTGGCCCTTTGTAGGTGAAAGTGTGCTGAATGTCTGAGCGGATCCTCCCTTCACACTAATCGTGGGAAGAAATGGGTTTGATGCTTCCCTGTCAACCTTCCACCCTCACCAATCAACAGAGAAGGATTTAGTCCATCTTCCCCGGGGATGAAGGGATTGGGAGCTGTGCATGGCTCTGCAGATGTGTGGCATGTGTGGGGGGACGGTGCATGCGTGAGCGTGTGCAGGAGGCTTCCCCAGAGCCACAGCACAGGGCACCACATGGCCTCTCGCTGTGGTGGCCACTCCCTGCCCTAACCACGCATCCCAGTGTCATGGTTCTATTGGCCAAGAGGCACGAAGCCTAGAGGCTGAGGGGAGTTCTGGTCAACAGCGTCAAAGTGAACCGTGCTGGGGCGCAGCAAAGATCAGTCTAATTTTCTTGTCAGCTGACACGCTGTCAATCGTTGTGTGCTATGAACCTACGGTTCTATATTCGGAATGAGTAGGTGTTTCCCTTCCTTGTACTGTTCCCCATGCTCACACAGGGCCAGGGCAAGGGTGGCTAGATGATAAAAGGCTCAACAAAGAAGAAAGGAGCAGGGAAAGAGCTGGCCCTGAAGGACAACCTACAGGTTCCAGCTCTGACAAGCATTTCACATGTTGCTCCCAACAGTCTGAGGCGTTAGCTCTCCCTTCCTCGTGGCATGGATATGGTAGCAAGTGCTCCAGTCCTGAGGTGGTTTGCCCCAGGGTACATGGCTTGGGAATGTCAAGGTAGGAACCAATTCCTGGTTTGCAGGAATCCATTGCCTTTAAGCGCCCAGCACTTCTTTTTTTCAAAGTCAAAGCCCCAGGGCTCCAAGCCCTCAACACCCTAAACTATTCTCATGCCAATGGTTCTCTACTGGCAGCTCACATAGGCGTCCCTAGCCACAGTTGGACCTCTCATCACACCTGCCACCTGCTCAGCATTTAACACAGGCACAGTTGCTTAGACCTGTGGGTGTCTAACATCTGCTTCTGCCTGCGGGCTCAGTTCCGTGAGGGTGGGGCTTTATCTTTTTCATTGCTTCATTCCAGTTGGTTCCCCATTGCCAGTACAGCCACTGTTTCTTTGCAGGTATGCTCCCTAGGTCCCCTAAGGAAGGTAGACCAGATGCACCACGAATGCCCAGTGCCCCCAGAAAGTCAGGAGGGGATGCCTGTTGGAGAAGCCACCAATCTCCAGGCCCGTCTGCAACCTCTGAGCTAAAGGATGGCAGGAAAGGTCAGGGGGCACACAAACTGTCCCTAGCTATGGTAACAAACAAATATCTTCTCAACATCCACTGTGTGACAGGCATTGTCCTAGATGTTTGAGATTAAAAAAAAAAAAAAAAAAAAGGAAAAAAATTGTTGGGATGCAACAAAGACCAAAATCCCTGTCCTTTGGAGTTTACCTCCTAGTGGAGAAAGACAGACATTAAGCAAATCATATAGTGTGCTGTGTCTTGGAAGGTCACAAGCACTATGGACAGAAATAAGTAGGAGAGGACAACAGAGTGAGGGGGTCCTGTTTTATTACAGAGGTGAGGAAGACCCTTGAAGGTGATCCACAAGGGAACTATATGGATAGGCGATGGAGAAGCATTCCAGGCAGAACGGTGCGGAAGTGGCAGTATCGTAGTCCCTTTCCTCCTCACTTTGGACACAGTATCCAACACTCACAACCTAAAGGAGAGGTTTATTTTGGCTCACTTTTAGAAGTTTCAGTCCTGGCATAGTCTGCCAACTCCAGGGCAGGATGGCAAGGCCGAGGAGACCGGCTCACAGCAGGCGTTTGGGAACGGAGGCGCTGAGGAGGGAGGTAAATCCTTCCAGGCCACACCCCCATGGCATGCCTCTCTGACCAGACCCCAGCTCCTAACAGCAAGTCAGCTAGAAGCCCCATAATCCAATCACCTGCCAAAAGCCCCACTCTGAGCGCCTGACTTTAGGGGAACATCTAGATCTAAACCAAAACAGGGAGAGTGGAAGGTCGCAAGAGCAAAGCGGGGTGCTGAGGGATGGCCTTGTTCTGATTTGGGAAGCCACTGGAGAGTGCAAGAGCAATGTGATCAGATTTAGGTTCTAAAAGGATCACTCTGCCCTACTGGAAGTCCTAAAGTGAGAGAAGTTAGCTAACTTGAGAATGCTGTTAAGTGAAACAGTAAAATTGTTAATCAAGGCCCCCGTGTAAAACATACAAACAAAACCTGCTTAAATATACACTAACAAAACCTAGCTCTTCCAGAAAAAAGAAAAGAAAGTCTCAGACTGGGCATGGTGGTACAGATCTGTAATCCCAGCACCTAGCAGACTGAGGCAGCAAGACTTCGTCTCAAAGACAAAGAAAACCAAGCGTGGTTGTGCAAACTGGTAATCTCAGCACTGGGGAGACTGAGGCAGGAGGATCATCCTGAGTTTGAGGCCAACCTGGGCTGCATAGTAAACTCAAGGCCAGCCTGAACTACATCATGAGACCCTGTCTCATAAAACCACACACACACACACACACACACACACCATAACAAACAAAAATGAAAAGTGTCTATCCTGGTTGAGGCCTCTGATGAACATTAGGGATTTCATGGCTGGTATTTTTTTTTATTTTAAAATGCTAGTATTATTAAGTAAAATAGATGATATTTGGCATGAGCCACTGAAAAGTTATCACTCCTACCTCCTCTTCCAGAAATTGGCCTCTTAAACAGTAAGATTAATTCTGGCAACATTTGCTCATGGTAACAGTTGTTTTGTCTTATTTTCTGAAATGCCACCTTTGAGACCAAATAAAATATAGCTGGTTCACTTGAAAAAAGGGACTAGAAATATGCCGCAAAATTATCTCCACAACCCATTTTTGCAGAAATAATCTCTAGGTGAAGCTTTTATACACAGATACAAAACTTAAACAGCAATGTGCACATAATCACAGTGAGGACACCGGCAAATTCACCAATCTGTAGTGTAAATACAAACTGGGAAGCAGTCTTCCATGAGATCAATGCTACACAGCCAGCAGAGCTGGCCCATTCCACAGCAAACACCAAAACATCCCTACAAAGGGGAGGTAGTGCAAGGAAAGCAGCATGTGCTTTGATACAAACAGCAATTTATTGCTAACAGGTGTCGTAACTGTGGTAATGGTGTAACTATATGTAACAGTGTAACTATATGTATGTGCTATACATATAGTCCTACGACATCTGTTTGTCTTGATACCGCTCCACAAACTCATCCAACAAGACTGGCCCTGGAGAGAGAAAAAACAAGGATGCTCCATCTCCATTGTAGTTGCTGAGGTCAAGAGTAATTGTTCTGCTGAATTCAAGTACATTGCACCACTGGTCTTTGTTAATCACTTTATATTTTGATTGCTTTAAGAATTGGTGAAAGGCCCACGGATTTAGCTCAGTGGTTCTGGTGCCTGCCTGGCAAGCGCAAGGACCTGAGTTCGATCCCCGGAACCAAAAAAAAAAAAGAATTGGTGAAAAACTGGAAAAAGGGGGCCAGATTTTTCCTAATAACAGTCCCAACATGCACATGACAGTGTTTATGTCTAGGCTGAGCTGGCCCTTTTCCTGTGCAAAGTCCAATGTGTATCTACAAATAAGCTTAAAGTTTGTAGAATCATTTAATACTGATCTCAAGCAATCCAAAGAATTTCTGAGTGTTTCTGTTGTATCGCATTGTAAAGAAGTCATTCCTGTTAACCATTCTTGTAGAGTAAAATAACCCATGTTTTGTGCATCCAATTTCCAAGCTAGGACAAGCATAACTATATTTTCTGGTTCTACACCAATGTCTTCACAAAATTTCTCCTTTCCTTCAGGACCCACCACATCCTCAGTACCTGCATATTCATGAACCATTCTAAGCACCGCTTACCTGAGAAGGCCTCTTCTTCAGTCTTAATTCTAGTTGAATCGTATTTTTGATATATGCTATCATATCTGCTTTTCTTGGCAGATAAGTCATCTCCAGAGGCAGGTCTTCTCTTTTTCCTTGGGTGCGGGGGCATCACGTTACTAAAGCAGTCAGAAGAACTGCAGGATCGTAGGCTTCCTGTTTGGTGATCGTCTTGGCCAACGTCTTCAGTTAGATTTAGCTTATTAAGGGTGTGGTAGATCTTAGGACTATTTGCCAGTGTTGAGAGATGAGAGTTCAGCTGAAAGTCTACTTACAAGGAATCCACTGGCTGCATGAGAATCATCTATGGAGCTTACAGAAGCCCAATGCTGGGCCCCAAGCCAGATCGCTTAAGTAAAAATGGGAGCATCAGTCTACTCTCAGGCAGCGCCAAGTAATTCTAAGGTGAAACATCCACTCTCAACTCATGCCTGACCTACCAACAGCCAATCCACTCCTGGAAAAACCCCAGCAGAGGCCAGGAGGACTCCAGTTCACTCAAGGGCACCTCCTAAGTATGTGGAAAACAGGTCAAGATCCCAGAAAAACAAGATCCAAGAAAAAGCCCCCAAGGCACTACACTGGGTCTCCAGCCAGACCTTTCCTTCAGGGAAGCGAGTCTCGAGGCATCAGCCTCCACACCTGACGGCCTGGACACTCCAGTTCTGGCCCTTCATCTCACATCCGCCCCCTTCCCCCAACCCTGACTCATAGCTGGTTCTGAACGAAAGGAATCACTGAAGTAAACACAAAGGAAAGTCCTGACCTAGATGCCAGTGGTTCTGAGTCCGGTTATCAGGTAGCATAAAGAACCCGATTTCTGCGGAGAGAGTATGAACCTTGCTGCTGCCATTCATCTTCCTGTGAGCTGTGTCCTTCCATGGCTGGGGTCAGCCTGTGTGTCCCCTGCGCTGTCCTCCTGTCCTGTGGCTCAAAGGTTGGTGTCCTATCTGACAGGCCCTCCTCTGACCTGCAGAAAGCCCAGGCCTCCTTGGTGCCCTTGGCCTACATTTCTTAGGCACCACCAGTGACAGAGGTGACCAGGAAGCTGGGCCTCGGGAAACACTGGCTGCCCAGTGCTTGGAATAATATGGCTGTGCAGGGAGGCAGGCACTCCGTGGATGGCTTTGTTGGATTTCAGGTAGCCAAGGACAAGGCAGCCCAGAAATTTCTTGCCTTCATTTTTTTTGCCTCTAAATTCTTCCCAGAAACAAGGAGTGTCAGTATTAGAACTCCAGGGTTTTATGAGGCAATTATGGTAGGACCATAAATCTTGTGTGTGTTGTTTTCAAAGGGGCAATTAAGTGAAGGAAGGAGGCACCATTTTCATTGCTCATTAAGTGATTAGGGCTTGTTTGACAGATCCCAATATCAGTGGCGGTGCCGAGCCTGACCTGGGCAACAGCACAGCCTCCACAACTCGCTGGTCAACACCCAGCACTTCCTCTCTGCGCTGGCTGCTCTGTGCCAAGGAGCTGGAAGGAAACCTTTCCTTACGCAGATGCACAGGTCATACTGAGGCCCTGGATGGAAGTAATTTGCCTGTGTGTGGCTGCAGTGGAGCCAGGTTCTGCCTCCCAGAGTGGGCTCTGGCCGCCATCCCATGCTTTGTGTCTATGGAAGTAGCGCTCGGCTCCCTCACACAGCGGCCTGGCTCTATCACTGCACCCATATTTGGGAAACACGGTCTGCTGCAGTGGTGTGGCGAGGTGGAATCACAATCCTTCTTGTCTACCAGCTGCTGCACTACATCTGGACCTCTTGGTAAGTAAATAAATAATGTCCTAGAAGGGCAGGCTGTGGGGAGTTGGTTTTCTGTGAAAGTCTGGAGGAGGAAGAGGAGCAAGACTTAAAGTGGACATCTTGAGACCGTTTCACACGCTCAGACTTTGGTGCCAAGCACTCCTTGGCTTGCTGCAATCACTGCTCCTTGTGTGACTCTCGACGACTTAGCCTTGCCAAGCGTCAGTGTTGTGCCTAAGTAGGAATAACACCTGCCTGTGATGTCATGTGAGAGATGGTACACAGTAAGAGTTTAGCAGGAGACTGGAAGTAAAAAATGATCTGTAGATGCCAACATACTGTCACTTCTAATCATGTCATTAATGAGAAGAAGAAGAGGAGCCCACCTTGTGCTTGGCTCTGAGATTACTGCCGGTCATTGAGAGGAAATGTCAGGAAAACACCTTGTAGGGGACAAGGCTGCATCTGTAGGGGCACAGGAAGATGCAGGGGGCCCATGAGGTAGGCTGCAGAAGGGTCTCTGGCCCAAGAGAAGCTGGGCTTACATCATAGCATGGTGATGGGGCAGAGGCGGTAGTGAGCTGTGCTGTGAGGATGGTGAGAGAGTCCTAGTTGGGACCCTGGGAGATTAATTTCGAGCAACCAGTATCAAAATCCTTAGGTACCAAGGCTTTCTCCATGAAAGCCAGCCTGGGGTAGGTGGGGTGTGGTCGCTGTCCTCTTGGCTTTCTCCATGAAAGCCAGCCTGGGGTTGAGGTGGGGTGGTCGAGCTGTCCTCTGCAAGTAGGGTGAAAGCTCATCCTGTGTGCCTAGAATTGTTCAAGTTTAGCACAGAAAATCTCATGTACTGGGAGATCCTAGCCCTGGGCAAACCAGGCCATTAATTCAGACACAGGGGATCTTGTTCGTGGAGCCTCCAAAACTCAGAGACCAGTATTCTGGTTTGGGCCATCTCTCCTCATCCCGTGGGGAGGCCTGGGCTGCAGAGTCACCTCTAGGGTGGGCAGGCTTAAAGGCTCCTGAGCCGGAGGCAGCAACTGTCCCTCAGTGATCACAGGCTTCGTGTCCAGGCCGGGGACAGTGAGGGCACTGCTGAAGACAGCGCCCCCTCTCCAGCCACACTGGCCTTTCCCTGCCCTTTGGCCAAATCAGCCTTAACATGGTCTATTTCAGGGGCTCACAACATGAAAATTGTCCTCACTCCTGAGATCTGTCTTCCCCAAACCAAGCTCTTGAACTGAAATCCTACCATGCAGGTGTCAGTACTGTGATCCCAGATGTTGTCAGCTGACAGGCGACCCAGGAAAGAGCCTAGGAAGGGACGGGAGAGATGTGGGGGAGAGGGGACAAGCGTGGGAGCCCTGAACCACACTCCCAACTGCGACGGAGGGAGCCAAGGGCCTGGGATGACAGTCACTGGGGATGATAAACAGACTGCTTCCTGTATCCCTTTTCTCTTGAGAGACTTCGCAGATGACTGCTAAGGATAAAAGAGAAAAACTCATCACAATGGAGATACAGGAAGAGGCAGCCTCACCAGACCAGACCCTACAACAAACTTCAGGACAACAGTAAGCAAACAAAGGAGCGGTTCTGACCAGGAGACCTCGGTGTTGATAGCACGTAGAGGAGACAGAGGAAGGGGCCGCGGGCCCTGAAAACCTCTCCTCCCCTATGTGCACAGCACTGCGAGGCTTCACATCTGCACCCCAGGAGGGAGCCGTGGCTTCTGAGGAATCGGCTGTCCCCAGAAGAACTTCTGTGTTTGGCCAGGGTGGGTACAGGGGGCCGAAGTCCAGGGATTGAGTGGCTGCCCAGCCAGCCCAAGGAAAGTCTCCAAACTGAGAGTAAGACAGTGAAGTCATCTCGGGAAACTGGAATAATGCAAGGAACAGAAAAGAACATTAAAAAAGTAAAACACCCTATTGATATCCTCTCAAAGATTTAATAAGGTACTGTATCCATCAAATAAAAACTGGATGGTATGAAGAGAGAGGAAACAGGATAAGAGAGAGCTCTTGAAAACTTAGAAAATATGTTTTTAAATTTATCAGAATGTTTACAGTTAAGTAAATCTTTCAGAGTCAAATAGAAAGATTAGGAGGTAGAAAATATTTTTTTAATGAGATTGAAAGGAGCTGGGGATTTAGCTCAGTGGTGCTGCTACCTGCCTTGCAAGTGCAAGGACCTGAGTTCAATCCCTGGCACTAAACAACAATAACAAAAAAAAAAAAAAGAGAGAGAGAGACTGAGAGAATCAATCTAGGGGTTGGGCATATAGCTCAATGGTAGAGGATGTGCAAAGCCCTGGGTATAACTAAAATTTTTTTTTTCAGCAAAAACAGATTAAAATGGAGAAGAGGAATTATTTATTTAAAAGTCACATTAAGTGATTTCCCAAGCTGGGCATCGTGTTGTACACCTGTGATCCTAGCACTCAGGGAGGCGGAGGATTCAAGTTTCAGCCCAGCCTGGGCAACTTAGTGACTTAGCAAGACTCTGTCTCGAAAAATAAAAAGGACTGGGGAAGTAGCTCAGTGTGAAGTCTCTGGGTTCAATCTCCAGCACCGCAAAAAAGGAAAAAAGTCATTTCCCATCGGGCTAGGGCTGTAGCTCAGTGGTGGAGCACTAGCCTAACAAGTGCAAGGTCCAGCTTTGATCCCAAGCATAGGAAGGAAGGAAATAAGGAAAGGAGGAAAAGCCTATAAGCAAAGTTCGTGCACTTCCCACATCTGTGTAAAGAGAAAAACAAACAAACAAACAAACCACAAATGGAAAATGCCAGGACAAAAGAGTGATCCCCACTCAGGTACAGTGTCCTGGAAATTTTAACACAGGGGTAATTAAATCTAAGAAGCTTTCAGGGTCAAGAAAATGAAAACAAGGAAAAGTTTCACAAAGGGTAAGAATCAGAATGACATCAGCATTCACAGCAGCAACACTGCGTCTGGAAGACAGTGCAGAAATACTTTCAATGCAGACGGCAGTTTTCAGTCTAGGAATCTACAGGACAATTCAATTACAGGGAATAATAAAGACCTGTAGAGACAAGGCAGGCCATAAACCGTGAAAGAGGAAAGCAGGAGTTTCAGAGAAAGCGTGCAAAAGAGTCAGAGTGGGGAGGACAAGGGCCCCTGCAGTGTGGGCAGCGGGACCAGCGTGGAGGAGGGGAGCAGAGGTTGGCGGGAAGACTGACCGGAGAGGGCCTGAGAGACGGAAGTATGAGGGACAGAGGAAAAGAAAAAGTGGTGTAATCAAGGAGATGCAATCTAGTAGCATCAGCTCTGCCCTAAATGGTGCTAACACAATTACACAAAAAAGTTTATTTGTGTCTAAGTTTTAGGATGTATCTATAAACAAAGTAGAGAAGAATCAATTGCAGTTAAGAGAATTTCAACATTATAACACTGATGATGCAAAAGTAAGGCTATCAGGGACCAAAATGGGGGAAAGGTGGGAGGAAAGAAGCAAAAAAGAGTACCTGTCTTGCTCTCTTACAAAGTGAGAGTCAAAAGTAAAGTTCCTGCTGGACGTGGTTGCCTACCTGTAATTCTAGTTACTTGGTAGGCTGAGGCAGGAGGATTGCAAATTAATTTGCAATGGACAACTTAGTGAGACTTACTCTCTAGATAAAACTTGAAAAGGGCTGAGTGTGTAGCATTGTGTTAGAGCACCTGCCTTACAAACACCAAGGCCCTGGGTTCAACCCCCAGAATGATAGATAGGTAAAGTCCTTAGGCTATGGAATTAGAAAGAAACTGTTAATACTGTATACTTCATATATATATATATTTTTTTTTTTGAGGCAGGGTCTTCCTTGAACTCTGTGTAGCCCTGACTGGCCTTGAATGCCACAGCAATTCTCCTGCCTCAGCCTCCCAAGCTCTGGGAATATAGGCACACACTACCACACACAGCTTTATTTAAAATGTAAAAGGTAACCAAAACAGCAATTATACTTTGATGACTCTACTAGGAAGAGAGGGGAGGATCAATGAACTGTCATCCTAATATACTATGTCACTAGAATCTAAGAATAACAAGAAATAAAAATAGATGTAGTTTCTACTGAGAAAACAGAATCAAGAACCAAGGTATGCATTGGAGCATTGCT